AGTTGAGGTGGCAGCGCTGTCGGCGGACACGGACAGTAGGTCGGAGCAGTTCTCATAGCTCTTCTCCACCTTATCCCACAGGGCCCGAATCTGATCCCGATGAACCTGGCACATGGCGGGGGAAAATCTATCGGTTTCAGGGGCGCTCGGAGTGTTGATGTCAGCCTCGAAAAGGCTCACACGGTCCGTTGTGGAAATGAACTTGCGGAGGGCGATATCGAGTGCGGATTGAGCCATCTTGGTTACCGACCGAGTAAATCTGGATGAGGTACCGGGGGAAGTGTCGACGGCCTCTTGACTTTTTGCCTTTGGAATGGCAGTGGCAGCCTTTGGCTTCAATTGATCAGGCCGTGGAGATACGGACTGGGACCTTTCCAGAGTAATTGATGGAATCAGAGGAGTCTGTTCCTCGTCTCCCGTGGGCATCCTTGATGTCGAATGGGTCGCGAATCAGTTGGTCGCCGCCGGAAACATACAAGTCCCGAAATCAATGGTTCGAAAACGTGACGGAAAAACAAGTTTTGGAATGGAACTTAGGATCACTTTGGCAAGGGGGCGCAATAGGAACTGCCAGAAGCCGCGGAACTGTATAACTTATGCAGTACGAAGTATCCCAGAAAACTCCGCACTCGGAGAGAAGGACAATGTGCTCGCTTACGGTCACATTGCCAGTGGATGCTGCGGGCGAATTCAAGAATTAAATGCCGGGCTCAGGTTCTGAGAGCCTCGGGCACCACCGAGCAAAAAAATTGACGAAAACTCGTGAAGGAGGAAATCACTCGAGTAAGGGCGTCAGGCGCCGACTTGGACAAAAAATAAATAAAACAACGAACGTCGACCGGAATGTCGAGGAACAAAAATTCTGTATTTAGGTGTCTCGGATGAGAAAGTTGTATCCGGCTTTGGTCGGCTCAGAACAGGACTACACAGCGACCCACGAATGTTTGGTTTCTTCCCGCAATAATGAATTAATCCACCAATAATTCGAAAAAAAAATTATTGGCCGCATATAATTAGTTAATAATTCGGAAAATTATTGGCCGCAAATACTCCACTAAGAATTCGAAAAATTATTGGCCGCAAATAACAAATTAATAATTCGGAAAATTATTACGGAGCCGGAAAGGTGGAATTAAAACCTTGGCTTTTGTTTGGAAGAACACGGGCACTGAGTTCTGCCGCCGGCAAAAACAACCCCAATAAAAAACACAGGTTAATTTGGAAAAGGCGGAAAAAAAAAAACACAGTCGTAATCGCACCCGTGAATTGATTTGCCGTTTTGTCCTAAACGTTTGTTGTTTTGTCGCGGTTTATATATATATATTTCAATTTTATTTTAATTTATTTTATTTGAATTTTTTATAGTTTATTTATTGTTCGTTCTTATGTAGGAGGCAGAAAATATATTGTATGGGCATGCATGCATATGGAAATATATGTGTATGTGTAAGGCTTGTGTTTCACAGTGGAGCTTCGAGAAGTGGACTGTATTTGGATTGGCGGAATAGCCCAAATTATGTGGAGAAAAAAAAAATTGCACACAAAAAAATATCGCGGCAGCGGCGAACTGTTCGGCGAACAGGGAACTCCCGAAACAATTACTTTCCGGATGCCGAATATTAATTAAGCCTTTATTTTTCTTCACCACACAATTTCACTTTGCCTTTTGACTTTGCGGAGATGCCGATATTTGGCGCGCGAGTATGTGTGTGTGTACACCGGAGCAACGGAGGAACCGAGAATCGAAAAAACTCAGGAATATGGCGACACACACAAAGCGGAGGCGGATTGAAAATTTCCACGAGACGACGAGAATGGAGGACTGGAAATTCCTCAACTGCCGTTGTGTCAGGAAAACTCGGACTTGGAGTCGACACGGAAAAACTTGCAGCAGAGTGAACGAAATTTATGTTCGGACACTGCTGAAGATCGGCAGAGAGGGGGAGACGGAATGCTCGTACTTATCTTGGTGGAGAGAAACGCCGAGAACTGCTGGTGGGGCGGAGTTGAAAATAATCCGGAATCCAAAAAAATCCGGCTCTGTGGACCAAAATGTTGGGGCGACGCACAGTAGCGCCTTTTCTCATTTAGCGTTGCAAAAATCATAACTTTTGAACCAAATGAGATAACTAAATAATTTAAACGGCATTGGACAGGTAATTGTTGTAAAATTTATATATGTACTGCATAATGTGCCACGCCCACAAATAGCGTATTTTATAGGGTATCAAAGAGAAAAAAATAATTTTTTTTCTATGAAAACGAATTTTTAAAAACAAAAGTTTGTTAATTTTTTTGCTTTATTTTTGTTTAATTTATAAAATAAAAATATTTTTTAACACTGAAAAAAAATTTTTTTTTTTTTAATTTTTTTTTGGTATTTTTTAATTTTTGGTTAATTTTGACTACTTATTCCTAAATATATGCTTATATTTGAGGAATTTCTAATAGACTAGGCATTTCTGGACTATAATCACTTGATTCTATCTCTTTTCGTGATTTTACATGCCGTAGAGATGCAATAAATGGGTCAGATGATGCAGTATCTATATTTCTTATAGAATTTATTCAGCGACTCCTGAGCTTCTTCCGAAAGTTCTCCAATAGGCAAAGATTGATATTCAATTATATCTTTACCATGTTCCAAAATTTTGTGGACTGTCGGGGTCAATCTTTTATGTGGATACTTCTGAGCCAAAAGTGAAGCTGTGATGGAAGCATATTCCCCATATTTTACGGAATCAATTTTCTCCTTGCAATTGAGTCCATTCAAGATCGTACCCAATCTTTGAATGATTTCCTCGTCAACTCCAGTGATTTCTGCCGCAACATGGCAATTTTCAAAAAATCTCCGTATTTCCATCGTTTGAGTTTCCATATCCCGGTTTTGGGTCTTTTAAAGGGTTACATCATGCACGTGTTATACCTGTGCATCTTTGTAAATATGTCCCAAATTCATGTTATGCAATTTTTAGGTAAGACATTTTTACCTAGTACAACCCAAAACTATTTTGTAAACAACAAAATGGTCTACCTGTTTTTTAAAAGTACTCTTTTTGCCCCTTTGGAAGTATAATCAGGTATAAATATGAAACCTCCAAACCCATTTTAAAAGGTACGTTTTGTCCTTCAATACAGAAAACATAAACAGATTGAAAGTATTTGGGATGCAAAACAGTTGCGCGCTAAATTTGGTATATAGTATATACCGTGTAAGTGGCGGTTATGGTAATTTGGTATATTTTACCCTGAGTTGTTTTGGTTTTTTTGCGTTGCATTTCCGCAGACGCAGCTCGACGCAGCCGATGAAAGTTAATTCTGATCCAGGAAAGATCCACGGAACTTGTAGTCATAGTGTAGTCAGTGGCCGTCATTGGCGTCAGAAGATATAGACTACTTTAGGCAGAAAAAGGTGAAAAAATGGACACCTGGCAGGTAGCGATTTACCTGTAGAAGCCCAAACCAAAGTGTCGTTTTTTTAGGTTCTTTAATAGTTTATGAATGTATCTATCATTTAAAGTAAAAACCATGAGCATTGGTTTTATGGTTTTTTTGTAATATTACCAGAAAGTCGACCAATTTACACATTTTTTTTTGTATGATGCAAAAAACGAAACAAAGTTCAACTTTAAATGCTCATAACTTCTACAAAAAAAATCTTAAAATTGATTTTATTGCAGATTCTGAATCCTTGTTAAATTTCCTGTCGAATAAGTATGGTTAAAATCGTTTTTGCGAACATGACTTTTTTGATTTTTGCAACGCTAATTGTTCGAGAGGCGCTACTGTGCGACGCTTCCTTCCTTCGGGAAAAGTGGAGTTTTCGACGATGGAAAATTCCCACGGCGCAAGCGAAGTAGTGGCGAAGTAGAAATAAAGAAACGGCGGGGGCGTCGTGGGCAAATTCAGATGATCAGCTTTATTTCGCTGCATACATGGTACTAAATCTAAGCTTAAGCAAACGGCTGCGCTCCCGCCCGCTTACTTCGCTAAGCGAGAGCGAGAGAGCGGCAGCGGCCGATCCAAGTGTTCGGCAGCGCAGCCCGAGGCCCGCGCTCGAGAGTGCGAAAGCGCTCAGCGCTGCGGGAGAGCGAGCGCGGGAGAGCCAGAGGGCGAGAGCAGCCCGAGGCCCGCGCTCGAGAGTGCGAAAGCGCTCAGCGCTGCGGGAGAGCGAGCGCGGGAGGGGAAGAGGGGCGCGAGCGGAAAGCTCAGCCGGCAGCGGTGGTACAATGGGCCGCGTACCTAAACAGTTATGAAACTCTGTTTAGTGTCTGTTTTCGGCATTATAATTTATGATATAAATATGAAAACCAATCTGCAAGGGTATACAAACTTCAGCGTGCCGAAGTTAGCTTCCTTTCTCGTTTCACCTTTTTTGCATAAGTACAACTTCTGAAGCCGATAAAAGCCACCGACTACAGTATGTCTATAAGTTACGTGGATCTTTCCTGGACCAGAATTAACTTTCATCGGCTGCATCGAGCTGCGTCTGCGAAAATGCAATGACAAAAACCAAAAGTCCACAGAGCTAAATATATCAAAATACCGACACAATTGCATACATTCCAAAAACCCTTTAAAAAAGCGAATTTGTGGGCGTGGTACAAAAGTTCTGATTTTTGCAACGCTAAATGAGAAAAGGCGCTACTGTTCGTCGAATCTATTTGTGTTAGCTAAAGGAAGGTTAACTAAAAATATTGTACACCGATTAGTGCTAAATAAAATTGAAATTAAAAGTATTCATAATTCAAATCATTAATATTACTGTTAAAGATTTAATACTATCTGCCTTACCTACCGCATTCATACGTTTATGTGTCACATGTTATTTAATAAGATCTTTGTAATACATATACTCATTTGTTAGCCACAGCAAGGCGTGGTCGGGTCTTTTAGTATAAGATAAAATATATACTTCTGTAGTTATGAAAAGTTGAATAGGGTTTACCCCAATTTTGCTTTTGCCCAGCCAATAATCAAAAGCAAATTATAATACTTACCTTTATTAATTTTAGATGTAGCGAAGTCACAACTGATATCTTTCAAATTTTCAGAAATGCTAGTATTACGGCATTGCTTTAAAAATGAGTGTGTCACTAATTTTGATGCAGTCCAGCGAGATACTGGACTTTTAGTTAAACATAGCTCAACAAATTGGTAGAAATCGTCTGAAAAAGTTTTTTTCACCAATAAATCACGGGAAATTTTTCTGTTATGGCAATGAAAAAGGGTCGATCCTGCAAATAGTAAAAAAGAAACGATAACATGAAACTCCTTTTTTATTTTGTAAAATTAAACTTTAAATTAATCAGTCACCACATAATATAACTCTAAACTATCTTCGGTTTGTATACCTTTGCGGCTTGCAATTCAATTATTGTGCACCGATTCATTTCGGTCGCATAAAAAAATAATTATAATTAGTTTTTATACGTTCAGAAACAATCAAGTATGTCAAATTGCATTACAGTGCAAAGTGGCCGAATATTGTATTAATATTGTAACATATCTGCATCTGTAAGTCTACCCATCAACTAGAACCAAATATTGTGACACTTTGGTGCAATAAATACAGAAACACTTGATTTCAGTTCAAGTGTAATATGATCAGCCAATGAACAATGAATATGAATGACATAAACATATGCATGCACACCATTCCTTCTCTTATTTATTATGGAAGGTTTAGAATAAGTAAAATTGTAACAAAAAGAACACTGATGAATAAACCAGAGCAGCGACACGACATGTCGCTCTTATAAAATGAAAAGCTGTGCAGTTCTTACTACAATTATTACATGACGACCGTGACGCGCAATCAGGAGATTGCAGGACGAAGCACCAAAACGCAAAAATGTCTATTTTGTTCTGGAAGAAATCGACGTGGAGGAAAACTGGAGGAACCAAAAATAAATTGAGTGAGTAGAGATGGAGTTATGGCTAAACGCGGGGGCGTGAAGAATAAGATAAATAAAAGAATAGCGCACGTAATGTGGCTATTATTTAAAAAACAACCACCACCCCTTGGGCAACTGCCCAAAAGCTACAATAAGAGCTTGACTTCTTAAAAGAAACATTATAAAAAAAAAACAAGAAAGGAAGCTAACTTCGGCACGCCGAAGTTTGTATACCCTTGCAGATTGGTTTTCATATTTATATTATAAATTATAATGCCGAAAACAGACACTAAACAGAGTTTCATAACTTTTTACCTATACTTATTATGTTTACAGTTTGACAGTTACAGTTATACATTCCCAGCTTTACATTTTCTCTACATCTACAGATCGCTTCTATGGCAGCTATATGATATAGTTCTCCGATTTTTATGAAATTTATACCAAAATTCTATAATAATAAGTAAAGCTCATATCTCAGAGTAGACGAAAATACGTTGAAAAACAACGAAGTTCTAATTTTTTCTATTACTTTCCCTATAGTTCCTATGGCAGCTATAAGATATAGTCGTCCGATTTTCATAAAATTTATACCAAAATTCTGAAATAATACCAGAAGCTCATGTCTCAAAGTAGATTAAAATACGTTGAAAAAAACAACGAAGTTATAATTATTTTCGATTAATTTCCCGATCGTTCCTATGGCAGCTATAAGATATAGTGGTCCGATTTTCATAAAATTTTTAACAAAATTCTGGAATAATATAAAATGGCTATATGAAAAAAATGATACAATAATATTGAAAAACAGCCAAGTTATAATTTTTTTTCTAAAAATTTATCGAACATTTGTATGGCAGCTATATGATATAGTCGTCCGATCCGGCCCGTTCCGACATATATAGCAGTGAGAGTATATAGAAGACTATATGCAAAGTTTCATTCAGATAGCTTTAAAACTGAGGGACTAGTTTGCGTAGAAACGGACAGACGGACGGACAGACGGACGGACAGACGGACATGGCTAGATCGACTCGGCTGTTTATGCTGATCAAGAATATATGTACTTTATAGAGTCGGAAACGTCTCCTTCACTGCGTTGCAAACTTCTGACTGAAATTATAATACCCTGCAAGGGTATAACAAGGACAATAACTCCAGCTCATTCAGATTTAAGATCAAAAACTAAAACCTCCAACTCCCAAGCCGCTACCGAGAAAAGAAAAAAACTTGCCCAAGCGGTTGTCCCTTCTGCTTGCAAACTTGCGGAAGACAAAAAAAAAAAAAAAAATATACATATACTTGTGCGAAGACCGGCACCGGTACCGCCTGAACTCATAGGCCCCGGACATCAGCAGCAGAGATTATAAGTGCGGGGGGTAAGCCACCACCTACGCCATCGATGGAGCGTCAGCGTGTCCCGGACCGGCGACGACCAGCTGATTCTGAATAGGTCATCATTACTTAAGATAGAAAAATAAAATATATCAGGCCTGTTCTAGCTTCCACTTCCGCAAAATTTATTCGGATTCGGATTTCCCTGACCTGTTCTAGTTTTCACTTCCGAAAAATTCTTACGGATTCGTATTTCCCTCTGTTAAGTGTCTGTTAATTTGCAGGCGAAACGTTCGGAAACTTTCCGTGTGCCATTGGGCTGGCGGATTCAAATCCGCAAAATCAGAAATTAATTATTTTAAAATACAATGCGATTATGAAAATTACAAATTTTAATTGTATTTTATTCCTTGAAGTTTTGGGAACATTATTGCATAATTTAATTAATTAATACTAACATACTTGATTAATAAATAATTATTTTGTGGGTGCACCTTAAAATCGGTTCGATTCTAACCTTCAACATTATTGCAAATCCGCCGCCGCTGTTTCGTATTTGAGAGGGACTATTTAAGGGCTGTCAGCGTACAAAAAAATAAGCGGTGGAATATGTTTCACGTTATTTTAAACAATCGTTGTACTAATTGGTATTTTATTATAAGAACTATTATTATTATATTAACCTATGCTAAAAAAATTGTTTTATTCAAAATATCTCCAAAATTATTGCACAAACTGTGCGTGATGTGAAGGGTATTTTTATACCCTTGCAGGGTATTATAATTTCAGTCAGAAGTTTGCAACGCAGTGAAGGAGACGTTTCCAACCCTATAAAGTATATATATTCTTGATCAGCATCAACAGCCGAGTCGATCTAGCTATGTCTGTCTGTCTGTCTGTCTGTCTGTCTGTCTGTCTGTCTGTCTGTCTGTCTGTCTGTCTGTCTGTCTGTCTGTCTGTCTGTCTGTCTGTCTGTCTGTCTGTCTGTCTGTCTGTCTGTCTGTCTGTCTGTCTGTCTGTCTGTCTGTCTGTCTGTCTGTCTGTCTGTCTGTCTGTCTGTCTGTCTGTCTGTCTGTCTGTCTGTCTGTCTGTCTGTCTGTCTGTCTGTCTGTCTGTCTGTCTGTCTGTCTGTCTGTCTGTCTGTCTGTCTGTCTGTCTGTCTGTCTGTCTGTCTGTCTGTCTGTCTGTCTGTCTGTCTGTCTGTCTGTCTGTCTGTCTGTCTGTCTGTCTGTCTGTCTGTCTGTCTGTCTGTCTGTCTGTCTGTCTGTCTGTCTGTCTGTCTGTCTGTCTGTCTGTCTGTCTGTCTGTCTGTCTGTCTGTCTGTCTGTCTGTCTGTCTGTCTGTCTGTCTGTCTGTCTGTCTGTCTGTCTGTCTGTCTGTCTGTCTGTCTGTCTGTCTGTCTGTCTGTCTGTCTGTCTGTCTGTCTGTCTGTCTGTCTGTCTGTCTGTCTGTCTGTCTGTCTGTCTGTCTGTCTGTCTGTCTGTCTGTCTGTCTGTCTGTCTGTCTGTCTGTCTGTCTGTCTGTCTGTCTGTCTGTCTGTCTGTCTGTCTGTCTGTCTGTCTGTCTGTCTGTCTGTCTGTCTGTCTGTCTGTCTGTCTGTCTGTCTGTCTGTCTGTCTGTCTGTCTGTCTGTCTGTCTGTCTGTCTGTCTGTCTGTCTGTCTGTCTGTCTGTCTGTCTGTCTGTCTGTCTGTCTGTCTGTCTGTCTGTCTGTCTGTCTGTCTGTCTGTCTGTCTGTCTGTCTGTCTGTCTGTCTGTCTGTCTGTCTGTCTGTCTGTCTGTCTGTCTGTCTGTCTGTCTGTCTGTCTGTCTGTCTGTCTGTCTGTCTGTCTGTCTGTCTGTCTGTCTGTCTGTCTGTCTGTCTGTCTGTCTGTCTGTCTGTCCGTTTCTACGCAAACTTGTCTCCCAGTTTTAGAGCTATCTGAATGAAACTTTGCATATAGTCTTCTATATACTCTCACTGCTATATATGTCGGAACAGGCCGGATCGGACGACTATATCATATAGCTCCCATACAAATAATCGATAAATTTTTAGAAAAAAATTATAACTTTGCCGTTTTTCAACATTTTTGCACAATTTCATGAAAATCGGACGACTATATCTTATAGCTGCCATAGGAACGATCGGGAAATTAATAGGGAAAAAATTAGAACTTCGTTGTTTTTCAACGTATTTACATCTACTCTGCGATATAAGCTTATTTTATTATTCTAGAATTTTGGTATAAATTTCATAAAATTTTCATTGTCCCTTCTGCTTGCAAACTTGCGGAAGACAAAAAAAAAAAAAAAATATACATATACTTGTGCGAAGACCGGCACCGGTACCGCCTGAACTCATAGGCCCCGGACATCAGCAGCAGAGATTATAAGTGCGGGGGGTAAGCCACCACCTACGCCATCGATGGAGCGTCAGCGTGTCCCGGACCGGCGACGACCAGCTGATTCTGAATAGGTCATCATTACTTAAGATAGAAAAATAAAATATATCAGGCCTGTTCTAGCTTCCACTTCCGCAAAATTTATTCGGATTCGGATTTCCCTGACCTGTTCTAGTTTTCACTTCCGAAAAATTCTTACGGATTCGTATTTCCCTCTGTTAAGTGTCTGTTAATTTGCAGGCGAAACGTTCGGAAACTTTCCGTGTGCCATTGGGCTGGCGGATTCAAATCCGCAAAATCAGAAATTAATTATTTTAAAATACAATGCGATTATGAAAATTACAAATTTTAATTGTATTTTATTCCTTGAAGTTTTGGGAACATTATTGCATAATTTAATTAATTAATACTAACATACTTGATTAATAAATAATTATTTTGTGGGTGCACCTTAAAATCGGTTCGATTCTAACCTTCAACATTATTGCAAATCCGCCGCCGCTGTTTCGTATTTGAGAGGGACTATTTAAGGGCTGTCAGCGTACAAAAAAATAAGCGGTGGAATATGTTTCACGTTATTTTAAACAATCGTTGTACTAATTGGTATTTTATTATAAGAACTA